ATTAAAAATTAGGCAATCATAAACCTGCCCCAAAATAACTACAAATTCTGCGTAAATTTCATTTGTTAACCGATTTTTTTTTCTACTTTCTGATGAACATTACTTCATACTTTACAAAACATAAGTAAAATAGAAAAACTGAAAAGCAAGAAAAGACGGAAAATATAAAATGACGGAAGGGTGCAGAGATAAAAAAAAAAAAAAAGATGGTCAATGAACGGGAATAAATGTAAAGTAAAAATAATAATAATGAAAAGACGGATTCGTAAAATAAAGGAAAACGAAATGAAATAAAAATATGGATTGACGAAACGATCAAGAAAAAAAATAATTTTTATTGAGACTGAAGTAAAGGAAATATTCTGGGGAAAATATGGAAGTATGACTATAATGGAAACTTGTAAGGAAAATTGATAGCGGTAAGAAATTCAACTAGTGAACAGAAAAGAAAGAACTGAATAGAAAATACCTGCTGAAGAAAATTTGATATGAAAGAAAAGTGGATTAAGAAGGAAACAGAAGAAAAATAAAGAAAACGAAAGAATAAAAACGAAAAGGAAACATTCAGAAAGATTAATTAGATATTGAAGAAAAAGAAAAAAGTCTCATTGGAATTAAACAAAAGAATACGAAGAGGAGAAAAATTAATTTTAAAAAAATCGAGAAAAATAGTTTTAAAAAAAGACAAAGAATGAAGATAAGACGATAAACTATATCGACGTCCTAGGCAAGACGATAAACTGCATCCACGTCCTGGGTAAGACGGTAAACTACATCGGAGTCCTGGGTAAGACGGTAAACTACATCGGAGTCCTGGGTAAGACGATAAACTACATCCGCGTCCTAGGTAAGACGATAAACTACATCCGCGTCCTGGGTAAGACGGTAAACTACATCGGAGTCCTGGGTAAGACGGTAAACTACATCGGAGTCCTGGGTAAGACGGTAAACTACATCGGAGTCCTGGGTAAGACGATAAACTACATCCGTCGTCCTAGGTAAGACGATAAACTACATCCGCGTCCTGGGTAAGACGGTAAACCACATCGAGTCCTGGGTAAGACGGTAAACTACATCGGAGTCCTGGGTAAGACGATAAACTTCATCCGCGTCCTAGGTAAGACGATAAACCACATCCGCGTCCTGGGTAAGACGGTAAGCTACATCGGAGTCCTGGGTAAGACGGTAAGCTACATCGGAGTCCTGGGGAAGACGATAAACTACATCCGCGTCCTGGGGAAGACGATAAACTACATCCGCATCCTGGGTAGAACGATAAACTACATCCGCGTTCCGTGTAAGAAAATAAACTATATCCGTTTCCTGGGTAAGACGACAAACTACATCGGAGTCCTGGGTAAGACGATAAACTACATCCGCATCCTGGATAAGACGATAAACTACATCCGAGTCTTGGGCAAGACGATAAACTGCATCCACGTCCTGGGTAAGACGATGAAATATATCCACGTCCTAGGCAAGACGATAAACTTTATTCACGTCCTGGGTAAGATGGTAAACTACATCGGAGTCCTGGGTAAGACGATAAACTACATCGACTTCCTGGGTAAGACGATAAACTACATCGGCGTCCTGGGTAAGACGATAAACTACATTCGGTCCAGGGCAAGACGATAAACTACATCCGAGTCCTGGGCAAGACGATAAACTACATCCGAGTCCTGGGCAAGACGATAAACTACATCCGCATCCAGGGTAAGACGATAAACTACATCCGAGTCCTGGGCAAGACGATAAACTACATCCGAGTCCTGGGCAAGACGATAAACTACCTCCGCATCCAGGGTAAGACGATAAACTACATCCGCGTCCTGGGCAAGACGATAAACTACATCCGCATCCAGGGTAAGACGATAAACTACATCCGAGTTTTGGGCAAGACGATAAACTATATCCAGGTCCAAGGCAAGACGATAAACTGCATCCACGTCCTGGGTAGGACGATGAACTATATCCACGTCCTAGGCAAGACGATAAACTGCATTCACGTTCTGGATAAGATGGTAAACTACATCGGAGTCCTGGGTAAGACGATAAACTACATCAGCTTCCTGGGTAAGACGATAAACTACATCGGCTTCCTGGGGAAGACAATAAACTACATCGGCTTCCTGGGGAAGATGATAAACTACATCGGCGTCCTGGGGAAGACGATAACCTACATCCGCGTCCTGGGTAGAACGATAAACTACATCCGCATTCCGTGTAAGACAATAAACTATATCCGTTTCCTGGGTAAGACGACAAACTGCATCCGCATCCTGGATAAGACGACAAATTACATCCGCATCCTGGATAAGACGATAAACTACATCCGTGTCTTGGGCAAGACGATAAACTATATCCACGTCCTGGGTAAGACGGTAAACTAAATCGGAGTCCTGGGTAAGACGATAAACTAAATCCGCGTCCTGGGTAAGACGATAAACTACATCTGCGTCCTGGGTAAGACGATAAACTACATCCGCGTCCTGGGTAGAACGATAAACTACATCCGCATTCCGTGTAAGAAAAAAAAACTATATCCGTTTCCTGGATAAGACGACAAACTGCATCTGCATCCTGGATAAGACGATAAACTACATCCGCGTCCTGGATAAGACGATAAACTGCATCCGCATCCTGGATAAGACGACAAACTACATCCGAAATCCTGGATAAGATGATAAACTACATCCGCTTTATGGGTAAGACGATAAACTACATCCGCATCCTGGATAAGACGATAAACTACATCCGCGTCCTGGGCAAGACGATAAACTACATCCGTGTCCTGGGTAAGACGATAAACTACATCCGCATCCAGGGTAAGACGATAAACTATATACAACATCAAGGCCTCTGCCCAGAAGGCTTTGTGGAGCTTGAAACCACTTCTTAATTGCTGGTGTTCCCAGGTCCACCCTGATCCGTGGTGGTAGCACCTGTTAGGGTCCCAGCTATGAGCAAATAGTTAACCCCGAAACTAGGGTCAAACCTCTCTGAAAGTGTAAAAATATATTTTAATACTAGAAAAATACCAGCAACGAAAAATTATTACCAGCAATGCCTTTTTGGAAAAAAAAAATATAGCCGGTGATGTATCTTGGAAAAAAAATATTACCAGCAATACATCTTTGAAGAAGAAATGTTAAAAGCAATATATTTCTGAAAAAAATATTACCAGCAATAAAAATCTTGTCGGTATTAAATAACCCATTGAGGTTGATATACCGTAAAATAAAACAAAACAAACCAAACCAGCAATAAAGAAAACTTATCGGCATTAAATAACCCATTGAGGTTGATATACCGTAAAATAAAACAAACTAAATCAATACCAGGAATACATTTTTGAAGGAAAATATATTACAAGCAATAAAAATGTTGTCGGCATTAAATGACCCATTGGGTTTGATATACCGTAAAATGAGACAAACTAAATTAAAACAAGCAATACATTTTTTAAAGAAAAATATATTACAAGCAATAAAAAAATCCTTGTCGGTATTAAATCATCCATTGAGGTTTATATGCCGTAAAACAAACCAAACCAAAGAATGAAAATATTTAACGTAAAAATTGGTAATAATATTTGACAAAATAATATTTGATTTAAGAAAGGAAAGAGAAAACAACAATGATTTTTTATACAAAAAGAAACTGCAAATGATATTTGATGAAAAAGAATTAAAAACGTTTTGATACAAAAATAACCAAAATGTCTGAAACTGAAAACAGGAAAGGATGAGGCTTTAGAGAAAATGGACGAGACTTTAGAGAAAATGGACGAGACTTTAGAGAAAATGGACGAGGCTTTAGAGGAAATGGACGAGACTTTAGAGAAAATGGACGAGGCTTTAGAGGAAATGGAAACAAAAAGAAAACGTACATTTAACATCATCAAGGAACAGTTGAAATTTATGGGCACTTAATGAGGAAAGAGGACTAGGAAAATCTGATACTCAAAGGATAGATTAAAGGCAAGATTGCCATTGTAAAACAATGGATAACTTACATGACGAGCTTGTGAAAAAAATGACTGAACTGGCTTTAGAAGGAATAACAAAACATAAATAGCAACAAAGGGTAGGAAAATGGGGAAAGCCATGATTGCCCACGCTCTAAATAAGACATGGCACATAGAAGAAGAAACAGTTTCTTTAAATGGATAGCAGAATAAGGTTTAAGAGAAATAACGAAAGAACAAAATTTATTAAGAGATACAAAGGTCAGGAACTTGTGGAGAGCCATGATCGCGTACGTCTTGAGGGGAAACAGCACATTAAGAATAAATTTTATGATAACCCAAGACGAAAAAAAAAATGGTCATAAAGAAAATCTAAAATAGTGTTTTTATTTATATTAAAATTCATCTGATCCACGGCCTGAGAGTCACTCAAGGCAGTGGGCTATTGTGCGGAGTTGAGTGGGTGTAAGAAAAAGCAAAATGGCAATTAATGAAGATTTGCCGAGGTTAAGATTGAAGTTATGGGGAAAAACTCCTGTCGGAAGTCTGTTCCCCAAAGAAGCAGTTCTTGGTAAGTTGTTGTCCGAGTGGAACTAACTCCTTACTAATGGAATACGAAGCAAATGGATTCACTTTCGTACATGTGGTCTAGCGGGTCCTAGGTGCAGTCGTCAGTGCTGAGGGAACACTTGCCTTAAAGAATAGCGATATTGTATCGAGAAGCTCGTGACTTTGGTAGGCAGGAAAATAATTCATCGCGCACAAGGCCGTGTAGACGATTAATAAAACTTTATCCCAAGAGGCAAGGGAAGATCGGCATCTCCAGCTCAGCTTTGGCAGCAACATGCCAGTTTGGGACTGTTCCTCCTCTTATAAAGACTTAGTATATAATGGAGAGTCAGGTAGCCACGGGAGCGTTACAATTAGCCTCTTTGAGAGAACACTATCCATCATGATAGGTGAATGTCCAGGGTCTGCTCGGTGACGGAGGGACGGTACTAGATTGATTTTTGGCAGTATAGAATTTTACATGACAATCCTTTCCCTTTTGAGGCAGCAGATCCAGGTCAGAGTAGAGATAGCTTCTACGTTCTTGTCACTCAGATTTCGGAAAGTGCTACTAATAATCTGTTAGGTTGGGTTGGGTTTGTTTTACGGCATATCAACCTCAGTGGGTTATTTAATGCCAGCAAGATTTTTATTGCAGGTTTGGTTTGTTTTGTTTTGTTTTACGGCATATCAACCTCAATGGGTTATTTAATGCCGACAAGATTTTTATTGCTGGTTTGGTTTGTTTTGGCTTGTTTTACGGCATATCAACCTCAATGGGTTATTTAATGCCGACAAGATTTTTATTGATGGTTTGGTTAGCTTTGTTTTGTTTTACGGCATATCAACCTCAGTGGGTTATTTAATGCCAACAAGATTTTAATTTCTGGCAATGTATTTCTGTAACATTATATATATATATATATATATATATATATATATATATGTATTGCTTGTAATATTTTTTACCTTCAAAAATTCATTTCTAGTAATAATCATTTTACAAAAAAGTATTGCTTTATTAAAACCTATTTTACACTTTAATAGTGTTTTGACCTCAGTTTTCTTTTTTTTTGGGGGGGGGCAACTATTTACCCATAGCTGGAACCCATATAGGTGCTGCCACCCCGGGTCATAGTGGACCTGGAATACCAGCAATTAAGAGTTGGTTTCACGCTCCTCAAAACCTCTTGATCAGAGGACTTGCTGTTGGGTGTAGTTTATCGTCTAGCCCAAGATCTATAATCTGTTGAATAGATCATAGACTAAACTAAGTTATAATTCAAAACCAAACAACAAAGATGCCCAGGGTGTGCTCAGTGGCGAGGTGAAGCTATTGGCTTGGTTTTTGGCTGTATTGAATTTTTACGCGCGACTCCTTCCCCTATTGAGGCACGAACGCCAATTCAGAGGAGAGTCCACCTTCTAGGCTCTTGTCACCCAGATTGAGCAAAGTGATACCTATAATCTGTTGAATCATACGCATAGATCATAGACTAAACTAAGGTACAATTCAATAGCAAACAACAAAAATGACGAAGAAACGAAAGTCATGTCTGAAGATTGGCGAAACAAGAAAATTATATATATTAATAAAGGAAAAAAAATGTAATAATCATTGACGAAGGAATGAAAGTGATGTCTTGAAGAAGGAGAACACATAAATAATATTTCATGGTAGGTAGGTAGGTAGGTAGGTAGGTAGAAAGAAAGAAAGAAAGAAAGAAGATGAAGGGGAATATATAAAAAATATTTTTCACGAATAAAGAAAATGATATTCTGAGGAAGTAAAACAAATAAAAAATAACTTTTTACGAATGAAGTAAAAAGAAAAAAGAAAAAGTGATCTTTTGAGGAAGAAAAAGAAATTAATATTTAACGAATGAAAAAGAAAAAATAGTGTGTGATAAATGGAGAAAAAGCAAATTATATTTGATGAATTAAAAAAAAAAACGCAAATTATGATATTTATCCACCGATATTATATATTTTTTTATATTGGCTATAATGGTTGAAATACTCGCTAAAGAAATGGCTGTTAGAAATGAAACGGCACGAAATTTTTAAGCATTTTACCCCAAGCAAGACGGAAGTGTCACTGGTTCGCAGTGGGTTACCCTGAATGAAGGTGAGAGAAAAAAAAACTGTGTATAGGGGGAAGAAGGAAAGGATAAAAGATGAACGGGTTTCAAGACATCAGAAAACTGTCGTTGCATCGAAATTTTTGAAGAATTTTGTTATTAGTGAAGCAAGTAAACGGATGGGGATTCCACAGGCGGGAAATGCGAGAAACGAAGGTGTTGGGGTCGAAGTGGCGGTTAAATTTAACTATTTCAAAGGTAAAATGGTGGGACCAAGATGCTAGTCTAGTAGTCGGCGCACCAAGTGAAAACGCTCGACAGAACAGTTGCCATGAAAATATTTGTGGAAAAGGCAGAGGGAAGCCACATGAAGTCTGTAAGAACGTGACTAGAGTCGAAATTGTAGTGATAATTGGAACGAAAATATTCTCCCACCTGATCGTAAACGGCAGCGTATATGTTCCGCGTGCAAGGTTTATCTTTTTGACCGGAAAAAGAAACATGGCCGCTCCCAGCAATCTTGTATTGCGAATGGTCACGTATCCTCACGCGGAAAGTCTCGTAAAGCCACGTAAAGTGGATTCACGCATACAAATGAAGGAAGGCAGAAAAGGAGATAAAAACGCTGATCGCCGGCGTCTGGGCAGTTAGAAAAATGGAGTCTCTTTTGTAACATGGAAAGAGAATAGTGTAAAGGAGAGAGAGGCGCAGAAGCAGATTATTGAGAGGATTGAACCAGTTTTTATCAGTCGTTGCGGTTTTACACCAGGCGTATCAAGAAAATATTGTGTTTTGTTCAGGACGTTTCGTCAGCCGTCGCGGATTGCAACGACAACAACAACTACAGAAATGCCAAGTCCGGATCGATTAGATTGCAGATCTTTCTGTGAATTTTGTCGCGAACTTCAAGATGAACAGCATGGACACCAGACCAGATATGGTAACACTACTCAATGTACGGACGAATGGTAGATTTATAAATATGTAAGACGGAGTCTGACGAGAAAAACCTTCTGACACAATACATTGAGCCAACATTTCTTGCAGAAGTTGCAGCTATTGATTTAATTTAGTTGCTTGACTTGAAGTCATTAGAAAGCGTAAGGCCAAGAAGGCTCAATAATACACTCTCCTGGAGTCTAGCATCGACTCTGCTGATGTCGGGTAGGGAATTGTCTCTGTGGTGGGTAAATGAGAGCAGTTTCGCTTTGGAGGCATTAACATTTACAAGCCATTTCCTAAACTGGTTAATCACTGACTTGAAGGTCCTTTTCGAGAGAAACGGCCGCGTTGACTTTTTCAGCGCTGCCGGGTTTGCTATTGAGACAGGAGTAAACAGTAGTGTTATCTGAATCGATGCCTGCCTGGGAGCTGATGACATCAGGGGGATCATTGATAAATATCAGAAACAGTGTAGGGTCCAGCACAGAGCCTTGGGGGACCATCGCATTCATGAAACAGTATCTGGAAGCGTGCCCTTTCAGAACCAACTTCATTCCACGATTTGAAAGGAATGATTGGATTAAATCAAATAGTCGTCCTCTAATATCGTAGCCCTGAAAGTTACGCACCAGATCAAATGCCGTCGAGATATCTAGAGCCACCGCTCGAGCTTCGCCGTTCTTATTAAGAACACACACACACACACACACACACACACACACATATATATATATATATATATATATATATTCAGTTATGGCCGTAAGCAATTCAGCATTTTGACCAGTCAAAGCCGAATCCATATTTTTTGTCAGCGAGTGGGTCTTGAGAGGTAAGAATCTTAACCACTTCAACATTGATTAAACCCTCGAAGGCTTTGCCGAAAAGCGGTAGGAGACTGATAGGGCAGTAGTTAGAGGGACCAGAAGGTTGTCCAGATTTCTTAAAATCAGGGACTACAGACGAGGACTTCCAACAAGCTGGAAAACCGGAAACATCAAGGTGTGATAGCTGCATAGATTTGAGAAAACTAAGTCCAGGTCAGGTATACTTTTCTTTATGACTATGGTGGGTCTTCGATCACCTCTATTTGACATATTAAGGTTTAATTCGGAAATGATACCCATGACCAGCGACGGGGTTATGCACATATCACTCAGTAGAGTATCAGTTTTAAGAGGTGGAGATCAGTTTTGGGTATCGAGTATTAAGCTGGATTAGAATTTCCGAGAAAAACTTTCAGCTTTATCTGCTCTAGATGTGAGGACATCGAATTGTTTGAATAGAGGAGGGATTTAGCATTTGCTGTTGTTCAGCACACTCTTTCAGAGCTGCAAATAATCTCTTGATCCGAATTTGTTAGATGCTATACGTTGATTCATTCTATCAGCAAACAGTAAATTGGCTCCAATGAGGACACGCTTAACCCTAGGATGGCCGAGGTGTCGTGTTTGACACCTTCAAATTTTCAACAAATTCCTATGGAATAACTAGTTTTGGTTCGATGTTGAGGCTTATAGACAATTATTGAATTCTAGCAAAGATGCTTAACAGACTTAATTCTTTAAAAAATATTCAGTGGAATAGCTGATATTTGAGGTTTTACCTTGAATGGCTGAGGTGTCATTTTTGACACCTAGGCTATTTAGATGGTAAATGCTTTGTAAAATTTCTCACAAGCAATAATACTTGTGTTTATGTCACCTATCTATCTATTTATCTATCTATCTATGCACAAACACACATAACTTATATATATATATATATATATATATATATATATGAAGAAATATAGTCTTAAGGTGTGCTATATTTATGGGATAAAGTGCTCGATATCAGAGATAGAGCGTGTGTAAATATAAAAGTGAACATAGAAGTCAACACTTAGAGGCGACAGTCTGTTTCATGCTATATGCAATCGTCAGGCCACGTGTGCTGTTATTTTTCTCGGCTATTTATACATATACGGGTCAGTGGTGCATTGTGGGTAGTCTATTATGGCGGTTATTTTACCGGAAGTCGTTTATTTAAAAAAATTGTTTATATCACTTATTTAATAGTTATATATATATATATATATATATATATATATATATATATATATATCACTTTCTTTCAGTATGATGTATAATAATATTTGTGAATTTCTTTTCAGACTTGTTATTCCTGACTTGAATATGGAATATATTAGAGATGGCTGCTTCACGGCGTAATGTAAATAAAGATGTCAAAAGAGCTGGCTATCCTAGTGTTAAATTGGTTACGAGCAAAAACAAATGGGGTGTCTATTGTAATTGGGCATGTTGCCCTGGTACAGTCGGAGGAAGGGATTCCTGTGGGCCATTTCGGCCGATCAAGCACGAGCGAACCATTAAGATGAATGCGGTTTAATTTGGTATTTCCTACCTGGAATGAAGGCATCAGTGCCGGCTTTTCCCCAGGAGGAAACCTCAGCCGCGAATTTCTGAATGGGGTAATTAAAAACAATATACCAAGAGACGTCTGGGAAAAAAATCACGGAATGAGTCCCAATCTGTTCTTGCGTAGAAATTGAGTGACTGAGAAGTTAAGGGTTCGGAGAGGAGAGTGCATTATTACGCCTTCTTGGCCTTACGCTTTCTAATGAGCAACTAAATTTCCAATAATACAGACCATCATTCTATACCCGTTTTCAAACATATTCGTGTTTGGAGATTTTAACGCCGAACATACAAGGTGATTTAAAAACTCTGTCACTGACCCCAGTTGAATCCGAACCCTTAACTTCTCAGTCACTCAATTTCTACGCAGAATGACAGACAAAGACTGGATTCAAACAAGAATAGTTTTTTTATTAAATGAAAGAAAACAAGTAACTTATCCCGTGGTAGGGATCAATGAAAATGTTCCGCGCCAAAAATAGAAAATAAGATGGCTAAGGCGGGAAAAGTTCTTGAAGAAGAAGGTTCCAGAAAAGTCAATCTACCAGAATAATATATATACAAAGAAAAATACTCACTGCGAGTTTTTGCTAATATGAGAGAAATGTTATGTATATATATTTTTTAGGTACTGGTTCACAGTCCAATGATTTGAGAGTGTATGTGATTTTGTATTTTTTTTTTTTTTTTTTTTGTATTCAGGTTCAAAGTAGGGACTCAGAGTTCGGTCAGGTCTTGAATTAACTGTCGAGAATTTTAACGGAATGCTGTGGACGTCTAGCCAAAAGGACGAAGAGCTAGTTGCGGTCAGTCGCATCGTCTATGAGAAGTTAATTATGGCGAGTCCAGAAGGGCGAAGAATTAATATTTGGTGTTTGCATCGAGATATGCTTCGTCTGTCAACCTTACATATTGACATGGCTAAAATGAGTCTGCTTAGGTCCGAGTCTAGATCACAACTAACTTTTGAAACAACAGTTTGTCCGTGACGTCAAAGACTTTTCGCGGGAAGATTTCAAAAATCTAATTTGCATAAGAAGGAATAGCAGGTCGCTTGACTGACGACAAAACCAGTTTACTACTGTATTTGACTGAAAGAGACAGGAGGGGGTGTCAAACGCGCGCGCGCACACGCGAGTGTGGAAGAAAGGGAGGAAACTCGCGCGCGCGTAGAATGTTGTAGATGGAATAATACATTATTCCACAAACTTAAGACCTAAAAATAGAACATATACCTATATCCATCCATTCAAAGTCCGTCTCCAAACATAAACGATAAGGAACCTAGTGGTGAGTAAATAAAAGATTATATTAAAAAGAATACGGAATAATAATGCATCACACGAGATTGAGGTTGATTTTTGGAGAATAAGCTTACTTTCTCCCTGAATTCAATAACAAGTTTCTCCATTTTATTAATGAAGTTTGGAATCAAAAATTCATCTCTAAAAAGTGGGGTTGATTATGAATGTTGGAAACAGAAAGACTCTCGCAAATATGGAGGTATCTCAATTGGATTGATCATGATGAATGTATTTATTTAATAAGCGCTCTACTCTCTCCCCCCCTCTCTCTCTCTCTTCCGTTACTAATATATTCCTAGTGTTTCTTTACTGTTTGTTTCTTTATTTCTAATTCCTCCAACTCTTTCATTCTTTAGTAACATATTTCTAGTCTACCTTTCTTTCTTTCTTACCAATTCATTCCACTCTGTCTCTTTCTTTTTCTCAATATGTCAAGTCTTGTTTGTTTCTTTCTTTCATTCTACAGCCTATCTCTCTCTCTCTCTTATTTTACTAATATATTCCGAGTGTTTTCTTTAGTCCATTTCTTTGTTTCTTTATTTCTAATTCCTCCCACTCTTTCTCCTTCTTTAGTAATATATTCCTAGCCTTCATTTCTTTTTTTCTTTTTCTACCTTGCATTCCCGCCTTTCTTTCTTTCTTTCTTTCTTAATATCTCTTATTTCATATTTAGTATTATCTACCGACTTTTTCTTCCTTTGTCTTTTCTTAATAGTTCCTTTGTCTTTCATTATATCTTTCTTTGGTTATTCTTATATTCTTTTGACATCGTCTTTCTTTTTTCTTTCTTTTTTTGTTAAGATCTCATTCTCTCTTTAAATATTATTTTCTCTCGTTTTGTTTCTTTCATATTTATTCACCTTTTCATTATTTCGATGTTTAACTTTAGGTTATTTTAATATTCTTTCTTTCTTTCTTTCTTTCTTTCTTTCTTTCTTTCTTTCTTTCTTTCTTTCTTAATCCTCATAATTTGGTTGTATATTCCCCTTTTCTTTCTTTCTTTCTTTCTTTCTTTCTTTCTTTCTTTCTTTCTTTCTTTCTTTCTACACCTTCTCTCTCTTATTCCGAGTGTTTTCTTTAGTCCATTTCTTTGTTTCTTTATTTCTAATTTCTCCCAGTCTTTCTTTATTAATATATTCCTAGTCTTTGTTTGTTTGTTTGTTTGTTTGTTTCGTTTGTTTGTTTCTTTCTTTCTTTCTTTCTTTCTTTCTTTCTTTCTTTCTTTCCAATTCACCCTACGCTATCTCTTTCTTTTTCTCTATATTCTGAGTTCTTTCTTTCTTTTTTTTTTTTTTTTCTTATTCGCGATATATTCATTTTTTTGTCATATATATATATATATATATATATATATATATATATATATATATATATATATATATTATGTGTTTCTATGTGTGTACTTTTATATCTAATATATATTCCGTCAGTAATTGCAGAAATCGATACGCGAGAGAACTGACGACATCTTGGTTTTGAACTCCCATGGAATTTCCCTGCTTCTAAATAATTATTATCATAGCAGAACGAATCAAATATTGTATCGACGAAATATCCAAATCGAATTAAACACGAAGGAAAACTTTCTCATTTCATAGAAAGCTTACGAAAAAAAAAACAATGATCATCCAACCTTGAATGTTGTAATGTTTAAATATGTTCAAATTTGCAGAAAACTTAATCAAATTATTATTGAATAGACTAAAGAACTAGAAGGAAAATCTCTTGTTCGGGGAATATTTCTCAAGGTGACTTACTAGACGCATTTTTCTTCGTAATAACAATGGTCGTTATCATTTGTATCATACACAATATATATATATATATATATATATATATATTAACGATACATGAAAAAAAAACTCATCTAATGTACACAGAGGGATTAAAATGGTAATGGTAATATCAGCTTGTTCCTTATAAGGAAACATTTGGCATTGATTGACCTAGCAGCCAGTTATATTGTCAGTTGAAATGTATAAAATACTAGTTTAAAAAACGCCATTCCTGTTTCAGCCTCTTGATTCCTTGGGGAGCATAGGGTCGGAACAAAATTTCTCCATGTTGTCAAAGTTGCCTTCACCTCTGCATCAGCACTTCCTGACCATGTAAGATGCCGTGGAGATTTCACGAGCAATAATATAAGGAAACATAAGGAAACCTTTGACCTTGATTGATCTAACAGCCAATGCTATTATCGGTTGGAATTTATAAAATACTAGTTTAAAAACTACCATTCCTGTTTAAGCCTCTTGATCCCTTGGGGAACATAGGGTAGGAACAACATTTCTCCATGTCGGGTCGGCTGCCTTCAACTCTGCGTGAACACTTCTTCGCCAAGGCTGTTTAGGTCGACCAACTTTTCGCTTCCATTGTGGATTCCATTCAAGGGCCCGCGTCGTGGTACTAGAAGCAGGATTGCGGAGTGTATGGTTGATCCATCCCCATTTCCGTTTCTTGTTGTCAATCTCGATTGGGGTTTGTCTTGTCCTGTCCCACAATTGGTTGTTGAAGACGACTTCCGGCCACCTGATATTGAGGATATTCCTGAGACATCAGTCGATAAATGTCTGATGTTTGTCGGTGTTTTTCTTGGTTACCCGCCAGATTTCCGAGGTACGACCGACTTGACATTGACAATAGGGTGGATTTTGACCTCCAACATCAAAAGCCATCCTACCGAGCGGCAATTAACATAACTCCTACGGATGACTCCTGATTGGGCCTTGAGCTTGTTCAGAAGTTTGAGATTCCCTAAGTCTTTGCATATCCTAATCGTTGGAAGCTCTCCTGTCTGCTGTTTGACCTGGAATCTCATTTGCACGGGACTTTCTTTTCCTGGCTGCAGCTTTGGCTCTTTTGATTGCAATCTGGTCCTCTGTTGGAGGAGATTTCTTTTCGCGATGCATACTGCTTCCGTATGCGATAGGCAACAATAAACTACAGAAGACCTCAAAATTGATCGAAGCATTTAACTATTGCATTAATATTTAAGCTTACCTTTTAAAAGTTCAACTATGATTCTTCTTCCGCCACTTGATTTAAAAACAATTTGACGTACGTAGGTCCTTATTTTCCGTAAAAGCAATTATTTTTGTTTAATGGGTAACTTTCGCTGGATTTTGAAATTACTTTCATTTATTCACAAATTTATTTCCAAGTTTTAAAAACTGTTATCATTTAAAAAAAATCAGCGCAAAAATTCCTTTATAAAATTGCCTAAAACAATTCCAGTAATGAAAACCTGCGACTACCGTATTACAGGATTGCGGTCAGGATCCTGCCTGGGATGTTTTTAAATTGACTACGGAGTTGGTCTGATTTTATTTACCATTTATAGTAACTGTGATTAACAAAAGAGCCTATCTTATATATTTCTAGGAGTCTTATATTAAAGGTAAAAGAGTCACATGTTTGCTCACTCCTGTCATAGAGGTGTGTACTGTCCGCTTTCCGATGGTTGTCCCCTGTACTGGTAGCTTGAAAGTGTTTGTCACGTTCACCCTGGAGTGAGGCAATGGAACGGGGTGGGCGTCATTGATCCTGGACTCGACGGATACGGCAAGCTTTTGCTTTGATTCTTCTTTCTCATGTCTCTTTTAGTGGTCTTTCAGAGAGCTTGGCGGCACCCATCTCTTCTCCAAAACAATATGCTTATAAGGCATCAAATATCTTTTCGCATTACTAACATTAAGATTAAAAGAAACATTTGTCCTTGTACTAAAGATAAGCAAACTTTGATTATATTTATGTGATGAGGTATTGTAACTATTTACATTGTTCGGACTATTGTCCTCATTTTTGTTTGACATACACAATGTTTCAACCATTGTACGCTCCGGCCTTCTTCAGGATTTGTCTATATTTCTGAAATGACGTATATATAATATTTACACCTTTTACATTGTTCGGACTATTGTCCTCATTTTTGTTTGACATACACAATGTTTCAACCATTGTACGCTCCGGCCTTCTTCAGGATTTGTCTATATTTCTGAAATGACGTATATATAATATTTACACCATTTACATTGTTCGGACTATTGTCCTCATTTTTGTTTGACATACACAATGTTTCAAACATTGTACGCTCCGGCTTTCTTCAGGATCTGTCTATATTTCTGAAATGACGTATATATAATATTTACAAAATTTGCATTGTTCGGACTATTGCCCTCATTTTTGTTTGACATACACAATGTTTCAACCATTGTACGCCCCGGCCCTCTTCAGGATCTGTCTATATTTCTGAAATGACGTATATATAATATTTACACCATTTACATTGTTCGGACTATTGTTTGACATACACAATGTTTCAACCATTGTACGCTCACGCCTTCTTCAGGATCTGTCTATATTTGTGAAATGACGTATATATAATATTTACAAAATTTGCATTGTTCGGACTATTGTCCTCATCATTGTTTTAAAATACACGACATTTCAGCTGTTGTACGCTCCTACCTTTTTTCAAGATCTGTCTATATTTCTGAGATGAGGTATTGTAACTATTTACGCTATATAGATTGTTCGGAGTATTGTCCTCATCATTGGTGTAACATAATTGTCATTTCAGCCGTTGTATATTTCGGTCTTTTTCAGGTTCTGCCTATATTTCTGAGATGAGGTATTGTAACTATTTACCCTATTTACATTGTACGGAGTATTGTCCTGATCATCGTTTTAACATACACAACATTTCAGCCGTTGTACACTCCGGCCTTTTTCAGGATCTGTCTGTATTTCTGAGATGACGTGTTGTAACTATTTACGCTATTTGCATTATCCGGACTGTTCCTCAAATCTTTATTGTCGTATTTACTATCATCCATTATACCACCCGCACATCTAAGCTTAGACCATCTTGTATTCCTAAGTGGTTACCCATCTAGGTACTGACGGGGCTCGACGTTGCTTAACTTCGGTGATCGAACTGGAACCTTAAGCATGATGATAATGGTAAGGATTTATGATTCCTGTCTCCTAGTTCTCCGAATTTGATTCCGTGAGGCAGCTGAAATGAGACAAGTAAGGAAGGAAAAATATTGGCTATGCCATTGTGCTGGTAATTAAAAAAGGAGATTCGTATGTGCCAATGTCCAGATATTATAAGAGGACTGCAGAAGTAATGTAATAATTATGCGTGGAAAAGTCAGGAAAGATTCAAGAAACGGTTCTCCCTAAAATTAAAAAAAATGGCTCCAACCGAATGGGATATAAGGTAGAATGAGATCGGTTTGGTGTTAGAAACAACGCAGTAAAAGGCACAAAATACAAAGGCAAAAGATGCCAAAAAATTAAAAAAAAAAGAGTAAAGAAAAAAAAAGTTACTGATGAAATATATGCAGTAATATGGCGTGCCCAAAAAGGGTGATGGATAGCATGATCAAAGTTTTTTTTTTTTAGTTTTTTTTTTATATTTGTTTAGATGGCATGATTGAAAGAGGACACACGATATTATGGATCCCGTGCCAATGTAATGGCATCGCCAAGTGATAATATGGATTAGGCCCAGGGAATGGCATATATAAACACGAATAGTAAAGACTCACGTGGAAGTTAATTTTTCATTTTTTACCTGTTAACTGTACCCACTGCTTCAGTGTCGGAGGCGCAGCAACCCACATAGTTTTATTGTGAACAGGTGATTTGTAATAAATTAACTTTTCCCCTTTATTGATCGATATTTCTTAATCTGTTTGAAGAACCGGAATAAATTTACTAACGTTAACCCAATACAGGGCTCAAGAACTACTCAAGGAAGATGTTTTAAGGAACGCGATGTATGATAGAAACGTAAGAGGAAGAAGGGAAGATTATGAGGATATGGCGGATAGATAATGTTTGACTGAAATCTTGAAGTGGTTATGGCTGACGTGTTCCCGGAAACGTTCACACGGATTTCTGTTGCATAAAGTAGCGGTTCCGGAGAAGAATCTGTTAAGAATGGTATTTTCTCTTGATTAAAGGATTATGTAGTGAATGGGGCTGATGCAAAAAGTGTGGATGCATCATGGCGGGTTATGATTGTAAATATCTGTTGCTGGCATTTAAAACTAGAGATTCTCTAAACATTCT